AATATGAGCGAAGTTTGACCATATCATATGAGTTAAATCGAAATTTTGAAAAACACGTACACCAACTACAATTGAAATTCAAACTCAATCATAAAAGACAAAATTGAAACATTTGAAAATTATTGAGATTAAACTGAAATCGAGTTAGAATTATAGTTACTTAATTGATAATTTAGAAAAAAATCGATAATTTGGCTTGTTGCTTCTTGTGTGTTTCGATTTAAATTTCGAACATGCATCGATAAAATTGTAGATGTAGGGCATATAAGGCAACCACGTGGCAGATTTTGGTCGAGCCAAAATAAATGATTCAACCAAAGTATTTATGGACAGTGTCCAATTATAACGGCATATTGATCAAATCATGTGGTATTTACTGGGGGTGTTCCAAAAACCTTATGACTCGAAAAAATCATCTACCCCAATCCAATCCAATCCATTCGATTTAGGTTGGGTTATAAATTAATTTGGATTGAGATGAGTTCAAATAAATGAAAATTTTATAGATTTAGTTGGTTCAAGGGTCACAAAAAGTATATAATAATAGTTATATTTATTTTAATTTTATTTCATTCAATTAGTTTTTATGGATTATTTATTCTCTAACGACCTTTAAAACTATTTTTTGAAAAAAAATTTGGAGTGTACTTTTCCACCATATAAATAAATATCAATTTAAGGATCTTGATTAAAAAAAATTCAAGGATCTTGACTAAATGTTAGACAATATGAAAATAAATGTGTAAGATAATATAACTTACTTTTTTGTTATACAATATGTATGCTAATGACCCGAATAACTCGAACCAATCCAATCCAAATATTTCATATTTGAGATGAGTTAGATTTTGTTCCACACAAATTTGGTCACTCGATAGATTCTCAATAAACCAAAATGAGAACTGCAAAATGCTGGAAACACTAAATTTTTAGGTAAAATTATTTGGTAAGAAATTTGTAATGAGACTCGTGCATACATGAGGGTAGAGTTTCCTTTAGTATTTACAGGCAAATCACCATTAGAATCATTGCTACATCGCATGTTGTGATTAGTGGAGAGGTTAAGTAGTTATTTTTCGCTTAATCATCCCAACAAAAATAGAGATGTGTTTTATTTCCGAGATTAGGGATGCGGAGTGAAGATCATTACAAACACGATCACCATCGTGGGCCCCATCCACATGTCATTTTGCACCGGGACCCACTTTTTAAGATGGCCCAACCAGCCTTGTCATTTTCACACATTTTTAAAATAATCTACCGTTATTTTAAAAATATATAAATATAATTTCGATAATATTAATAGAGTATATATAGGAATCGTTTTTATTGGGTAATACGATTTTATTCCCATGGTTGCATGGACAGCTCCCGTATAGAGTACACTACAACCAGGATACGTTCTCCATGTGCCTTGCCCTTGCCCTAACAGAAAATTCCTTTTTGAAAATTTCTTTTTTAATTATATTATATATTCTATGTGGGTCCCACCGTTTGGTAAAGTATACAAATCCTAGGGTTGACGGCTAATCATGAAACCGTCCTTTGTTTCTGCGTGACCCCACCAAATTTCTCCCTCCGCAGTTACGGGACGTGTCGAGTCAAAACGCCGCCTGACAGCAAAATCGGGCCTGAATTTCAGGCCCAATTCGAATCATGTTTTTTGGGCTTTATTCCTGGCCCAGATCGAGTGTGTAGTATTTGGGCCTGTGTTGGGGAAAACGAGGAAAAAAGGGTTGGTGGTTGGGATTGTCAGAAAACAGCTGTACAACATCGTACGGTGGTGATTGAGCAGTTACACGTCTTCTCTGATCTCAGCGACCAGATCTAATGTATTGTCGTCTTTGAAGTCCGTTTCATTCATAAACCACAGCCTAAAAAAGTGTGATGTGGTATTTATGAATCAGTGTGTGGGCCCCACCCAATCTCCACTCCGGTCCATCGTTATTTTTATGAGAATTATTAATGTGGTAGAGAAATTTATTACTATAATTATAAATATCTTGGTTTGCAAGTTCGCATTCTACATTTATGTCCATATTTATTGTATATTTATATTTGTTTGACATCGCACATGTCTGAAAGGAATAGGATATTTGCCATTTGAGCGTGACAGAGTGGTTATGCCATTACCACGTGTACCTTCCTTTAATTAAGCTAACAAATAAGAAAAAATGCATAATATACTATGTCGTATGATGTATCAATTAGACGAAATTCAAAAAATGTGTCCATTAATCAAGTTTATCAATGTGTATATCATGTCATCATTTTATTAATAATGCTAACTTCGATAAATATCTACCGACACAATTCAAAATTTAATGATTTGAAATAAATTATTTACCATTTATTTGCTAAAATTAACATAGGCTCAATCGTGCACATAGTTTGTAATTTGACCAACATACTTTGTGCCCATTTGAACATTTGGTGAGTACTAAAATTATTTATTCATATATTAAAATTTTATAAATAAATAAATATTATTTGTTTGGTGGATAACTTTTTTTTTTCAAAAATTAAAGAGGGCGGCTGGACCAACTTTGTACACAAGAAAAAGAAAATTATACTCCACAAGGCAGAAATGATAAAAGGAAAATAAAAGTACACTTTTTCCCCCTCTTTTTATACCGGCGACTCCCTACTTTTATTCCGATTCCCATTATTTCCTTGCTACTTTCACTTTTACCGTAATTTTTGGATTCATTGACAAGATAGAACGGTGGATTCGAATTTACGACCATTTGATCGAGAATAAATACGTTAACAAATTGAATTATGGTTAATTTGGATGGATCCATTTAAATCTAATTATAATTATTTGTATAAGCAATTAGCATAATTTTCATATGTGTAGTTACCCAACAATTATATTGATTTCTATTAATCTCACTTTTTTTTATATTTTTATAAAGCAATGAAAGTGAGAGAGTTACTCGAGTGAGTTATCTGCACTCCATATAAAATTCTAAACTTTTTTTAAGATGGCTTAATTTTAAAAATATAATTTGATTGCGTGTAAATTGGTTTTTTGTTTGATAATTTAAACTCCACATAGACATGAATCAATTAGGTCAATTTTAAACTCAAGCAGCTGCCGTTAAAAAGAAAAGAAAAATAGTGAAATAAAACTTAACATTTAAATCAATTCTTATAGAATAATATCATTAAGCTCCAATAATTTAGTATCAATCAATTAATGGTAAAGAACCCTCTCGAACCTTAAACTCGATCACGTGTAAATTCTATCCAAAGGAACCTGTCATTGGCTTTCTCATTTTGCTAATTTTTGTATTAATGATGTATTATTACACTAAATTATTCATGAAATTAAGTTTTTTTTTGGTTGCATATCTAAAAAATCAAACAAAATATAAAATAGTACGATCTGGCATATAAGATGAAACAATTGTTTCTATTAATACGATATCTTTTGGGTGAAACAAAAAACAAAGACGTGAAGGTTCCCAAAAGCAAACTGTATCATACCGTTGTGGAGATTATTCTTGTTCGAGTGTGGAAAGATTGGTTGACTACTTGATGAGAGGGAAGATTATGTCTAAAACAGACAATATCATATATACTATTTTAATGGTACTTATCCATGATATATAAGATGACAACAATTATTTCGAGAATACTGTCATCCTTAACATTTTTCCTCCCACGTTATTTTCCTGTCTTTATAATTTCCTAGCATTTAGCACCGACCTAGAAAAAAAAAAACTTAGAAAGAGAGACAAGATTTTCTGGCAATTCTAAAAAAAAGGAAGGGTGTTAATTAATTAATTAATTAAGATTAAAGGGGGGAGTGTCTTTATCAACTTTTGAGCTGTAGGCCATGCAGTCGCAGGATTGAGCACTCCAACCCATGTGCCCATTCATCTTCATCATCCAATCATCTAATACAATCGATTCCTGTCTTACCAATCACGGTTCCCTACAAAGTAATGGACATTTCTTTTCTTTTCTTGACTTCTCACCTGGTACCATTAAAAAACAAATAAAATTACAGTACTATTTAATAACGCGTAACTTTAGTCGTTTTTTAGTATGATACGTTAAAAATTAGAGGTATGAGCGTTTGAACTTCCAACTTCGATGAATAAAGTAAGTGTCGATTGTTGCTCGTGTTTGCCAACTATTATCAATCGAATAAACACTACGGATTCAATATTATATGAATTGTACCTTGTTTTCAGGATTAAGTACTATTACATCATTATATATTTAATTTTACTTATTTTTTTTGTTTCCATACCTTCGAAAGGTTCATTTTTATCTGTTTACTCTTAAATAGCGACTATTTTGATATTTTTCATTTTTCATTTTATCATAATTTTAATATGATAGTTCACTCACTAAATTTCTTAAGAAGTAGTCATATATTCGTATTACAAATTATTCGTATATAAAATTTGTAGTACAATTATGTCAATATGCTAGATTGGTTACCTGAACTGAAATTAATTAAAGTCAAGAATTCATAAACTATAAAATAAGATTTAAACATTGAGTTTATAAACTTGAACTGCAATACAAAAAATAAGAAAAAAATCCCAGTCATAATTTTTGAAATTTGGGTCAAGAGTTCACAAGTATTTGTTTTAAAGGATGGAGTACAAATGTGAATAAAGGGTATAAATTTAAAGAATACAAATTAAAAACAAAATGAATCCAAAACGAAAATAACACTTTTTATTGAAATTTCAGCGACATTGTGAATTAAACAACATTAAAAAACATCGATAAAAAATGTACAGACAAAAAAAAAAAATAATAATAAATAAAACCATCATCAAACCAACCCTACACAATAATTTTAATTTTTTCTTTTAAAAGCAAAACCCGACAATTATTTAAATTTATTATATAAAATGATGATTTAATAAAATATTAAATATTTAAATGAAGACGGCTGGAGAGGGAGAGAGAAAATCCCGCTCTTTTTAACCAAACCTAGCGTCGCAAAGGGCAATCGCAGTAAATCCGCGGAAAAGCCAGAAGATTAGCTCCACGCCAATTGGTCCTCCTCCGCCGGCAAAATTACTGAATTACCCTCTCGATTCAATTTAATTCCACACTCACAGTCTCTCGACTGAACGCAGAGCGCCACAATTTTTCATCTGACGGCAGCGTCGTCTCCAAGCAGAGCTTCAGATTTATATGGGTGAGGCTCCCATTCCCCACCATACTCTCGCTTCGCAATTTTCTGATCTCACTGCCGAGTTCTAGAACGAGAGAAGGTCGCTTCGAGCTGCGAAATGGAGAAGGCTCTGACGAAAGTGGGCAGCATTAAGGTCGGGAGCTTGTGGATTTCGAAGAAAGCCAAGGAGGAATTCGCAAACATTACTGACGATATCCATGTGAGTTTCTTGTTCTGTTTCTGCTTTGTATTTCTTAATTTTTCTCCTCCAAGAATCATTGCCTGCTGTTTTTCTTTGATTTGCGGTGTTGGGTTTCTTTCTATTCGTCGCGATTTGAGTAATGTAGCTTAGTTTTAATGCCACTAGCTGCTGGTTTTGTAATGTTTTTCGCTTACTACCAAGACTGGGGCGAGATCCGTTAGGTTCTTCCACTAACGCAGAGGATTGGGCGATAGGGTTACAATGGAAGTGAAAATGAACTGAAGGGGCTTACTGGGGTTTCGTTGATTGTATCAGTTCGATAAAAATGACCTTTGAAGAAAGATTGAGAAAATTCTTATGGAAACCGGTTGACCGACTAAAATCTGTTTGGATCAAACCCCAAGATGAATGCTGGAATGAGAACTTATTTATTAATATTTGCCATCAATCTGTCAAAATCGACGCTCTCTTTAGTTAAAATCGTTATATCTAGGAGATTTTGATTCAGATTGTCAAATGTCAACGAGCTTAATTGAGAACACAGCAAAAACAGAATTTATCCGAATGCACAATATATGTATTTAAAATATCAACTGCCATCGGCTAAACCGCTGAGCACCTTCTATTGACGTATTGGGAACATTAAACTTAGACCTTGGTTGGTTATAATCTTATACATGTTACCTTTTATTGCAGACCTTTTCAAACACCGTTGAAGAAAAGGCTAAGTGGATTTTCAACAAGCTGAAAGGTGAAGTCTTGCATATTCTCTCCTTTTTATATCAGAATGATTGAACATTTATTCCGGATTTGATGGACAATTTTGCTGCAATTTGGAATTGATTGCGCAGCGCAGGACAAATCCCCACCTCAACCTCCAGCTTCTCCAAACGAGAAGTCCCAATGAATTAGCCCTCATTAGACAGTGCCTTGTTTGGTAGACGAGGTTGCATCTAATCTATCTAAGATGGCGAATGGTGACAATTATCACTACACTAATTTCGCCCATTTTACGAATCAAATTACATAGAATTTGAAGATAGAACACTTAGCTCTGACATAATTAGTCGCAGAGTTCATTTTCCCCTTTTGCCTCATCATTTATCATCATAACTGAGCTTTTTTGTGGAAATTCCTCTTTTACTTTTCCTTTTGGTCGAGTTCCTATCTGAATCTGCCAGTACTCAGGCTTTGCCTGCGCTGTGTTTCCAGTCTGCTGCATTTCTGTTTTGTTCATGTTCCAAACAAAATCTGCTCCCTCGTTACTGACTCTCATCTTCTGCACTAAGTTTTAAGAGATTTATGTGAGCATAATACTGAAGAAAACCATAGCCCATATAAGTATTGATATTATCGTTTTCCTCCCACAGGTAAGCCATTAAAGAGCTTGCCAGATTTGCTTCGCGAGTACAACTTACCACCTGGCCTCTTTCCTCAGAACACAATCTGCTATGAATTCGACGAATCCAAATCGAAGCTGATTGTACACTTGCCATCCGCTTGCGAGATAAGCTTCACGGATTCCTCCATAGTCAGATACGCGACCCGGGTGAAAGGAACTCTTCATAGAGGGAAGCTTACAAGCATTGAAGGAATGAAGACGAAGGTCCTAGTGTGGGTGAAAGTGACAAGCGTGGTGGTTGAGGGCTACAAGTCTGATAAGGTCTGGTTCACAGCAGGAGTGAAGAAGTCGAGATCGAAAGATGCGTACGAAAAGCCCCGTGACGCCGTTAGAGTAGAAGAATTCTGATATTCAAAAGTACGACACACATTGTTGGTATCATTAAGGAAGCAGGGATATGAATCCTGTGGTTACATATGCTGCATTTTGCAAATATAGAAGCCTCAATCTTGTCCCTTTTATAGATATTTATTTCACGAGCTTTGTGCTCATATGATTCTCTGTTCTCTCTTTATAGTCAAATGTCAAGTTCTCTCATAAAGGAGTGACAGAACCAGATAAACCATAAACCAACTTGTCTAGGACTGGACCTTTCTGGAAGTGAGAACATGAAAATAGCAGAGTAGATAGACTTTGAAGGGACTTTCTTCCTCTCATTCTTTATGCATTTAGTGACTATTCTTGTGTTCATTGTTCTATTTTTCATTAAATAGAATAAAATGTTTGGTAAAAGTTTGTGACAAGAAACAAAAGTGTCGTATCTTCAATGTTTATAATATATAGTTTTGAGAGCATTTGTAAATGAGAAAAAGGAAATATATTATTACCAAATGTTTGAACTAGTTTTAACTCTTATCCTTAATTGGTCGTATAAAAACTATTCTAGAAAGAGCATAAGAAATGAAATAATGATTTTCTCAAAACATAAAATAGTAATTTAGTATTGCATTTTTTCTTCAAAAAGTGGTAAAGAGTTGCATTATCTTGGTTTTACCCGTCAATAGACGGCGTCGTTTAGATGGACATTGGTACGGATATACAACGTCGTCGTTTCAGGCAAACGTAGGCTGTACCGTTGCCCAGCGCCGGCCGCAAACAGAATGGTCTGAAAATCAGGGAAGAGAAAGGCAAACTGGAAAATGGCGTTTCCGGGAGACCCAAGGGCTTTTGCAACACTCGGCTCTCGTTATCCACGGCATCCTCCGAACTCTCTCCTTCCTCTCAAGGTCTGAAAATCAATTCTCTTACCTCCATTTCTCTACGCTTCCTTATCTTCAATTTCATCTGAGTTTGTTGCCATTCGTCAAATTCATCTCGTTTCTTTGCTTTATTTCCAACAAAGAAATGGAAAGTAGTAAAGGAATCCGGTAAAGTATAATGGCAATTCTAAGGTTTTGTAGTGTAGGGACTATTTCTTGCTACCTGCTTTGCTAACGAATGCTTGGAATGGATTTTCACATTCGGTACTACTTTAGCCCCGTTTGCATTGCTACTGGCCTTTTGAGTGAAGTCGGGCATGCCTATAGTTTACTAGTTCTTGCTTTCTGCTATCTGACTTTGGAATTTTGCCTTTGGCTTTGTCATATTTTCAGACAGTCGTGTTCAAATATCACTAGCTTAGTCGTTTCCCTGGATATTTGTTCACTTCATTAGTCACTTTGGACTTAATTCTTTACTCAATACTTCTTCATGCCGCTTCAACTTGGCTCCGGTTTTCTATAATTGTATCAATCATCATATCCTGTATGTTTAGAATGCTCGCTCTTTGTGGTACAAATCATCAAGAATTGCAGAACTGACTGCGGTTCTATTGAAGAACTACATGAGTGGTAATCATGCATGTCATGATGTTCTTCATCTGAGATCTTCCCGTTCTTAATAGCTGTACTGGTCAAGCCAGTGCACTGAGTTAGGTTTCAATTTCAAATGATGTTCTTCATCTGAGATCTTCCCGTTCTTATTAGCTGTACTGGTCAAGCTGGTGCACTGAGTTAGGTTTCAATTTCAATGATTGACATGGCTTATTTGACCGTCTTTTGATAGTTGCAAGGTCTTCAAAATTTCTGGTCTGGTTTTCCACAAGTTTCATCATGGATGTATCTCTTAAATTTTTTTATGTCAGTCGAGTAGATGGCCCAATGCTTGTTATGCTTACAGATGGTTTTCTTCTGAGCATATTTTTTCTTTTTCCTCTTTAGACCGCCCAAGAAGCATACATGACTGAGATGGCTACCTTTGGGGATTTTTTAAACCTTGAATCTTTTTCTTCTAAATTCTTTTTAGGGCTGGAAAGAATTGACCATATTTTCCCGGATTTTATTGAATGTTTTTTTAGAGATCGATATGGTCTAATTTAGAATGCAGGAAGGGCCCACTGGAAAACTTGCAAATATTATCGGCTTTCATTGATTTGGGGTTCTTGTTTTACACTGCAGGTGGACCTCTCTGGTTTTCTTCACAGGAGATTTGGAAATAAAGGAATCAAGCCAAAATGGCACACCATGGCACATGAAAATGATAGCATACGTAGAATCTCCCTGCGAGATGGTTTTGAGAGCTCTGCAAATTATGAACAATCACCAAAATCCCTAAGTCAAGAAAGCTTTATCCTTAGTTCCATTAACATGAACTTCTTGGAGCGATTGATATTGGCTTGGAGGATAATTTTTCCATCATCAACATCTAAATTGAAATCCAACGCTACGATTGCCAAGCAGCGGTTAAAGATGATTCTCTTGTCTGACCGATGTGCAGTTAATGATGAAGCTAAACAAAAAATTGTGGACAACATCTTGAGTACTCTTTCAGATTTTGTTGAAATAGATTCAGATGATAAAGTGCAATTCAATGTCTCTACTGATTCAGATCTCAGAACTATTTACTCTGTCACGGTGCCTGTGCGGAGGGTGAAGGCCAACTATCAAGGCAGTGAGGAAGTTGGAGCAATAACGAAAACAGACTCCAAAGATGATGGAGAAATATCTGGCTCCGTAACATAGATCTCATGTTTGACTGTTTAATTGCAGAAAGACATTGTTCTTAAGGTCTGCTTCATCTGTATAAATATATGAAAAATTAGTCAAGGTTTTAACTTGTTTGATCTGTAGCTTTGTTTGTATTTTTGGGACCATAGTTATTTGATTTCTACCAGGGTAAGCTGCAAATTAACAAGACAGTGCACTATGGCTTCTCTGTGTCTGCTTGTTGGAGTTGGGTGTTTGATGCACCAAATCATAAAAAACTTGAAGCTTACATTCTTGAGCATAATGGTACAAGGTATGTTGATTTCCAGCCCCTTGGAACATTTATTCATAATGTTTTAGAAGGCGGTGTTGGAATCTTTCAACTAGGATGTAAGTGTTGGATGTCTCTGCTGGACAAAGGGCATAGCCATTGAATTGGAAAAGACGGTTTCTATGTGTCTGTACAAAATTTGAATTTGGAAACCAGAACAAGTGTTCCAAATCAACTAACAGATCCTAGCTCGTGAAAAAAGTTGGATTTCAATTTTGAAAGTGAGCGATTCTAAGTTCCAGGCCGTGCGGCCTGTAATGCAAGCCCAAGCCCAATTAAAAAACGAAGAGGCAAGTTTTGGAAAAGAAACTGGAAAAAATCAAAAACGGAAAATTGAACCCGACGTGAATCGAACACGCAACCTTCTGATCTGGAGTCAGACGCGCTACCATTGCGCCACGGATCCGATGTTATTATGTCGTTTACCTTATTTGTTTAAATATGATAAACTTAAGTTTGTGGTGACCGTTCATCTCTAATCCAACGGTGAGACTATTTACACGAAAGCATTTACTTTCGTTAACTTTCTTGAAACCCTAGGATTCCCTTTCCTTTTTTAGTATCC